GGGCCTCCGAAAGCTTATGCTCACGTCGTCATGCTGGTCTTCGGCCTCTGGCCGAGGCCGAGGCCGGGAGGAGAGAGGACCAGCACGCGGCCCAAGAGATGCGCGCGGGCCTCCGATGGTTCGTGCTTTTGCCCGTCGGTCGAAAGAAGCGGGAGCGGCAAAGAGGGGGGGGTCCAAGAGGGGGTTGCAAATCATGACCGGCGGCACGTGCGCGGCACAGCGGGGGGGCCAGGGACGTAATGAAGTGAGAAGAGGCGCCACGAAATCGGGGGAGATATCATGGCCCCCGCCATGATACCCCCCTCCCAGTCATCACCCCCCTCTTTTCCGCCCCCGAAAGATGTGGGCAGAAACATCAAGCAGGAAGGCGTTGGAAGTAGATTGGGTTCCTGCCCGCCCCCTGAAGATGCAGAGAAAAGGTGAAAACGCTTGCTGAATGAAGCAGGAAGGCGCCTAAATGAAACTGGGATCTGGGATCCCAAGAATACCCACTCTCAACAACCGATGGGCATTGGGGGAACCAGAAAAAGGGTGCGGGCACCTTCTCTTCATCTGAGGTATGCCTTGTGCCTGTCGTGTCGTTCGGGCTGAGGCCGCCACAGGTCCATCGGGGGTACTCGGAGGCCCCTGGAGGCCTTGCAGGAGGCCGCGGGAGGCCCAGAAAGAAGCCACACGGACAGCACTCGGTCTTCGCGGGGCTCCAGGAGAGCGTTTTGTTGTCCCAACCCTCCTGTGTTGGGTTCTCGTGTTGAGGCCTAGGAGGAGGAGGAGGAGGAGGAGGAGGAGGAGGAGGAGGAGGAGGAGGAGGAGGAGGGAATGGAGCTGCTGTCGCTGCTCCATTCTTCACCCAGTGGTCTTCTAGCATAATTCTCTCCATATTGGCGTCGACTCTCCGGCGTTCGACCGACCGACCGACCGACCGACCGACCGACCGACCGACGGAGGAGGAGGAGGAGGAGGAGGAGGAGGAGGCCTCCATCTCTGAGGAGGTTGAGCACTGAGGTCGCAAACCTTCTCCTCTCCTTCCCCCATCCTCCTGACTCCTCCTCTTCCTGCCTCCTCCTGCGCAGCTCCCTAGGTGGCTGCGAATTTCGCAACTGTCGCCGCTTTCGTGGGCTCCTGGGAGGCACGGCGGAGTCGGGAAGTAAACAGACCCAACCATGACCTCGCAGCTCCCAGGGGGGCTGCGAATTTCGCAACTCTTGCCGCTTTCGTAGGCTATAGGAGGCATGGCGGAGTCGGAGAGTAAACACACCAAGGGGACCCCGCAGCTCCCTGGGGGGCTGCGAACCGCGCAACTATCGCCACTTTCGCTGGCTCGTGGGAAGCACGGCGGAGTAGCGGAGTACGCGGACTCATCCGAGACCTCACTGCGCCCTGGGTGGTTACGAACTGCTCAATTGTCGCAACGTTTGCAGGCTCCCAGGAGGTCCAGCGAAGTCGGGGGCCACGCGCACCCAGACGAGACCTCGCTGCTCCCTGGGTGGCTGCGCTCTGCGCAATTGTCGCCGCGTTCGTGAGCTCCTGGGAGGTCCACCGGAGTCGGGGGCCACGCGCACCCAGACGAGACTTCGCTGCTCCCTGGGTGGCTGCGAACTGCGCAACAATCGCCACTTTCGTGATCTCCTGAAAGATACAACGGGGTCGGTGGCCACGAGCACCCAGACGAGGCAACGCTGCTCCCTAGCTGGCTGCGAACTGCGCAAGTGGCGCCACTTTCGTGAGCTCCTGGAGGTCCAGCGGAGTCGAGGGCCACGCGCATCCAGACGAGACCTCGCTGCTCCGTGGGTGGCTGCCAACTGCGCAACGTGGCGCCACTTTCGTGGGCTCCTGGCAGGTCCTACGGAGACGGGGGCCACGCGCACCCAGACGAGACCTCGCTGCTCCTTTGGTGGCTGCGAAAGGCGCAACTGTCGCCGCGTTCGTGAGCTCCTGAGTGGTCCAGCGGAGTCGGGGGCCACGCGCACCCAGACGAGACCTCGCTGCTCCCTGGGTGGCTGCACTCTGCCCAATTGTCACTGCTTTCGTGGGCTCCTGGGAGGTCCAGCGGAGTCCGGGGCCACGCGCACCCAGACGAGACCTCGCTGCCCCCTGGGGGACCGCGAACGGTGCGACTGTCGCCACTTTCGTGGGCTCCTGGGAGGCACGGCGGGGACGGGGGCCACGCGCACCCAGACGACACCTCGCTGCTCCCTGGGTGGCTGCAAACTGCGCAAAATTGTGCTGGGTGGCTTCGCTGCTCCCTGGGTGGCTGGAATGCTGCGAAACGTCCCATTGTCGCCAGTTTCGTTGGCTCCTGGAAGGTTCAGCGGACTCGGGGACCACGCGGATCCAGCCGAGACCTCGCTGCTCCCTGGGAGGCTGCGAAGCGCGCAATTGTCGCAATTTTCGCAGGCTCGTGGGAGGCACGGAGGAGGTGAGGGCAGCGCAGATCGTGCATATCTGGCGAGTGTTCTTTCGTATGGAGCGTTCAGACATTCGCCTCGTGTGGAGAAGGGATTGGGTACGTCTCGGGAAATTGCATGTTTCGCGATAACAGCCGTTACCGGCCCCAGCCACCCCCTTCCCCCCAGGTAGCGTCACGATTCGTGCTGACCTCCGAGTTGTCTTTGGCTATCCCTAAGCACTCCCTGAAGGCGCCATCTCGAAACTTGACGTTACCGACTTCTCGCCTCTCCCCTGGGTAACGCCCTTTATCGCCTGGGAAGAAGAGACCGCTCTCCAGGTGAAGAAGGACTCAAACATCCGACGCCATGATGTGTGCAATACTTGGCCTCAAATCTCTCGACCCCTTTCCAAACTAAAGACCGGCTTCTGATTATGTGTCGCTGTCTGACGGTCACAGAGCCCAGTAACAGTCCCCAGAGACCGCGAATTGCCAAAGTATTCCGTCGAGATTTGTTCACGACGAGAGGGCTTGGAAGGACCAACAGCTTTCCACGATCCTCTGGGAGAGGAAGAAATTGGGGGCCTGGACATGGGCACCAGCACCAACACAGGGGGGTGCCTCCTCAGGGGTAAGATGATCCTAGAATTTGGCGTTGGTGGTAATAATTCGGCCACCTCGGAAGCCCGAGTATGACCACCATCACCGAGATCGGGAACACCATCCCTCGGTGGAGGCACACCGCCGTTCTTGATGTTGCTGTCAACCTCTACGCCTCCGAAGGAGGATGCGGGGGAGTCGCGGGCGGGAGGCACATTCAGTCCACGCCCTAGCGGTCCGGACTCATCTGCAGTGCCCCATCGGATGCAGGGGCGACTTTGCGCGGATGCTCCCGTGCAGAACGGAACGAATCCACGGGATCGCGTACCCTTGGGACCGCGCCTGAGCATCCGGACCCCGAGCGCATGAACATACGGGTGTTCCCTGAGACCGACGTCGCAGGGGAAAAAATATATACGACATCGTGAGAAAGCACAGGGCGGAGTCCTGGACCCCATCTTTCTGCTGCACTCTTCTGGAGCCGGATCGATCCGTGAGGCTCCTGGGGCCAGAAACTTGGCGAAAACGCCCCCCGTGAAAACAATACAGTCGGGGCGTTGACCTAAGGAACCCTAAATAAGGAACGAGGCCCCTTTTTTCCATAAGTTAACCTTCGATATCCTGTCGAAAACAGAAGGAAAGCCTGAGGCAAGCTGTGAAACACTTAAGGAACGCGGAGCCCCTCCCCAACGAAAAGGGTTCCTTCTTCAGGGCCCCGACTGTACAACGCTCGAACTTCAGGGGAACGAGGCAGAGGAGGAGCAGCAGCAGCAGCAGCAGCAGCAGGATCTGGACGCCCGAAACGGGTACTGGAAAAAAGGGCACGATGCCCAACCAACAACTGCTGCCCTAAACCGACAGCGACTGCTGATGGGCAGGCGGCTTTCTGTCTCGAGTGGACCAGAGGCCAGAGGCGGCATGGACAGCGAACCCTGCTCAAAATGAACGGGAACTGCTGTTGGGCATTCTACTCGTTCTTTCCGCATCCACCTCTGGGGAAACCAAAAGGTACCGATACCGCTATTCCCTGGACCTCTCCCAGTGTGCGTTCTGACCAGAGCTTCGAGGCGAATCAGGCGGTGGCGACGAGGGCCTCGCAGGAGGCCCCAAAACGGGGGAAAAACGCGGGAAGGGCAGCGGCTAGGGTACCTTTTCCTTCCTCCTCTGACACTTCGACCCGTGCCGAGAGGCTGCGCAGGGCACAGGCTGCTCTGGGGCGCCCGGCCGTACACGTACGACATGGCGCCAGTCGGTAAAGGCTTAACGACTTCTGCCGTCCCTCGACTCGCGCTGGAGCGGCCGCGGGATGCTCCAGCTTTCCCTGGAGATCTCTGGAGTTGCCCGGATGTATCTCGAGATGCCTGGATTTCCCTCGATGTATCTGCATTTACCTAGACTCCTCTGGCTCGATCCCCACAGGTCGATCAGCGAAAAGTCGACAAGCCCTTAGGGAGCCAGCTCCCATCGGGAGCGGCCAAGAGGGGGGTGTTCAAGAGGTGGGTGGTGCAAATCATGACCAGCGGCATGTGCGCGGCCCATGGGGGGGGGCCAGGGACGCAATGAAGCAAGAAGAGGCGCCATGAGATCCGGGGAGATCTCATGGCCCCCCCCCATGATATCCACCCCCCCCCTGGTCATCCCCCCCTCTTTGCCGCCCCCGATAGGGAGCCAGCTTCCAGGGGAGCCGGCCGAGCCCCCCGGAAAGGCGCGCGCGCGCTCGCGGGCCGCGCCCGCGCTCGGGCTTCGCAGCGCGGCTGCGCGGCCCGGCCTCCGCCCGGCACGGCGGCGGCGGCGGCGGCGGCGGCGGCTGTGCCCGCGGCCCTGCGGCGCCTCTGCTGGTCCCTGCTGCGGCCCTCTCGCCCTCGCCCGTCCTGCGCCTGCCCCCTCCTCCCCCCTGCATCCATGAAGGGGCCTGGGGACACACAAATGAACACACACACACACAACTAATAAGATTCCCCCTTTTTTCCCTTGTTTTCTGGGTTCTCGTCTTCCCCCCCACTTCCCATAATTT